TGTGGAAATAAGTTTGTGTGACTTTTATCTGAGTTTTTCATGAAATGAGATTGAAATGGTCTGCTTTGATTTTATGAATATGCAACATTTTGATCCTGTTGAAATATAAATTAATAAGTCTGAGAAGAGGAGTCATTTCGGCAAGTATTTTAACAGCAGTTAAATGGTCTTGAAAATTTAACACTAATACCCCTTTTTAAGACAAGCCTTGAATGCTTAAGTCTAAATTACATGAAGAATATGATGAACATAGTGTCTTCCACATTTTTGGAGAAAATTATTTTAAATAGGCTTTGGAGGAATTGGTTATTGACGTAGAATGTTTCACAATTGTTTTTAATAAGACCAAATATGTTAAAAATTTTTCAAGTACCTCAATTAAGAAATGGAAACAGGAAAACTATAAAACTGCATCTTAAGTATATGAGACTAATTTTTTTACCAGTACTGAATGAAGTTATCAATATATTACAAAATTTAGGTGTTCCACCTCTTTGAACTTTCATTCACCTTAAATATCCACCCAGTGTAAACAAGGTTAAGTATTTTTAAGTACATAATATTGAGCTAATTAAAGAGGCTGAAAAATTAGTTTTGTCCTTTTCTGTGGTTTTTGTATGTATCTATAATTGATTTACTGTGTAAATCAATACAACACATTTGTTGTTACATCCTCTAGCTACTGATGACAGTACCAGTTCCTTTCCTTTAATTCAGTGTGGAAGGACAAGATGGTTACAGAAACCATATTTGAGAATTAAAGTTCTGTGGCCCCAGGATAAAGTCATCATCTAGTAGAATATTTGTAGTGTGAAGAGGTATCTCTGTTACTGGCATACTGATTGCAGCACCTCAATTTTAAGAATAATAGGTCTTTGAATGACAAAATTGAAAAGTTATCTGATGACCCACGAAACACAGTTAATTAATTTGTTAAAACTTTTCATAATTTAATTTTGTAATGAGCTTCTTAATGAAGGCAGTCTTTGATATTTAAATAGGCTGTGTATTTTGTAATGCTAATAATTATAATAGTCAAGATGTGCAGTGTCAACATGATATTAAAAATAATTAAAAAAAAATAAAAAATACTGTTAGGTCCTGAGGCCTTTTGTATCATTTATTGTATTTTCATAGAAGTGGGAAATAATGGGAGAAAAAGTGTTCATTGTCACTATTGGTGTCTTGTATTATTTTGTTGATGTTAATTGCAATACCAAAGTTACAGTTAGCTCTTAAGACTTTATATGTACATTGGAGTGTCACCTTGCAATATCAATCAACCACAGTGTTTAAGAGCAGTGCAGGTTATTTTCATATGCTTGCATTCTTGTAGACAAATAATACAGTAATCTAGAATGGTTCCTTTGTTTGGATAACATGCTAGAAAGTTGTGCTGGTTTTTATGGAGCAATGATGTCGTTTTAGGCTTTTGGTGCCGTTAAAGAAAGAGGACATAAGAAGGAAATGCAAAATGCAGCTTGCACACTGGGCATTCTGCATTCACAAGAATTCTGTTTCCTTGTGGTTTACTCTGCTGTTGCTGATGGCTGCATGCTGTTCCAAGTGCAGTTTAACAAGATGAAAAAGATAATTTGGACAGGGATAAAATATATGGTCAACTGTAGCACTGGTCAAATTTAAATAACAATATAATGTGCTTAGATCTCCCCATACACACACTATATATATTTAAGACAAGCATATATCCTTCTTTTAGCAGTCAGATAATGTTAGCTTTCAAGTGTATGTGCACAGAATCCTAGAAGGCCTCTTAACACTGCCCTTTTCTACATCCTTTAGCTCTACAAAAAGACAAATTCTGAAAACAAAATAGTGAAGGAAATAAAATGATGCAGTTGAGAAAAGAGAATGTATTACTAAGCAATATAAAGAAAACCTTAGGAGTCGCAAGTATCCCCTAAGTAGTGGCTCATTGTTCTATTTTTTAGGAGTCTTATGCAAGGTCAAGGACTAGGTATAGGGGTCAAGACTGTGAGCTGTGTGAACTGCAGCGTGATTTTTTTCAGTGTTCGTAGCTGCAGAGGACTGTGCGGTCATGACAAATTTGAAGTGTTTTCTGGTGACGTTTTTCATTACAGATCTTTGCTTCCATAATTGCTGTGTCAGGTATTCCTGTGGTCATTTATATGGTAAGGACCCTGTGGGCCATCTAGTGGGAGGTTTCTTCTTGACACTTGACCATTTGAGAAATAGGAAGCTTCATGTTTTTTTAAGGTTTATGGGCAAAAGCAGAACAGACTTTGCTAGACTTCTATTACTTGATACATACCAAAACCTGTCATTTTAATATACCAGGAAACAATGGAGTAAGGAAAGACAGTTAAGCCAGTTTATGAACCTGACAGTTACTTAACTGGAATAAGTGATGCTTATTTATTTAGTATTTTTAAGTTTTTACAAGAAAAAAATAATGTTTTAAGTTTGAGCATAACCTCTTTTACAACATGGGATTCAAATGCCTTCTAATGAAAGCTGTCGTGACAGCCACACAGATTATGTTGTTTGCTTTGGTTTGAACTGAACCATGTGAGACAGCTCTAAACCAACTTTGTTTCCTTCTTTATAAAGCAAACCTATGGTAGTTCATGACATATCACTGTAACAATTTTTAGAATACTTTCAGAAGCTTGATATCCCTTGCTTAGAGAGTAGTGGTAAATCCCATGCAGTGGGTGTATGTGCTGCCAAGTGAATGTTTGACCTATGATAGGAATTGAATGGAGCATCTATGTTTAATTACAGAGTGAATTTAGACAATGATATTTCAGGCAAGATTAAGCTCCTTCATGAGGCTGGGGACTTTTGAGTTTTGGGCTAAGGAAGGAGGAGATTGAGCACCCTGCAGAGCCAAACACTAGTAGCTCTGCTTCCAGGAAAGTGAGCAACTGCAGCAGAACTTAGGGAACAGGTGATAGAAAGCTGCACAGCTAGGCTTTCTTTGTATGCTCTGGTGAAGTTGATGGAGTCTCTCAGACATTAAATGGCCTGACTGCCTTGGATCTGCAGGTGGGAATCTCTTCCAGGCATGAAATGCAATTTACTATTGGTTAGAGGCGCTTACCTGTATCTATCCATGTATCAGATAAATTATAGGCAGAGAAAAGTGCAATATTGGGTTTTTACTGATACAGCACTGAGTGATAGTTTATTTTATGAACTGGCTTTTCACAGATGATGCAATACACGGTTATTTCAGATTCCCCTAGTTTTTAGGATCCTAGTTTTTTGTATCTTCTTAGATGGAGCAAAAGTGCATATGCAATATGGCAGATGTTTCAAGAATCTGAAAAACTCACTGCACCTTCAGTGCACAGTTTTTTTCTTGGTCATTCTTGTCATACTGAGTATATCCAACCCTTCTGATACTAATGTGTAGTTCAATAGATCAGGATATGCAACAACATATCTGCAAGGGAACTTTCAAAAGCCAGCTGTGTATGTGGAGGTTCTGGTAATAGATGGATAAAACAGGACAATTTAGAAAACTTTAAATGGCCTTCAGTACTGTACTTCAGTACAGAACTTATAATACTAGTGGATCTACAAAGACCATGGAGAAATCTGAGCCTCAACATCTTCCCACACTATATTTCTGGACAGGAAGGGTAAGTCTGGGATTATGACAGTGCTGTGCTACAAGAACAGTGAAGCCTTGGGAAGACAATGAAAGCATTACTGGTGCTCCTATACTTGATTAATGTATTTTTTAGATGGAATGAGTGGATAGATGTTATATTTGTAGCAGAATTTCAGTTTTGAAGTGTATGTTACAAGATGTCTCTAGTAAATAAGCGTTTCTAATACTTTTTGTGCTAGTACAGATTTAATATACTTGCACATATAATAATGTGTCACAGAAAACTAAGATAACTATGAAACCAAATGGTTCCTGATTTTCTACAGCAAAGTTGAAATGTAGTAATACCTGAGTTACATGCAACATAGCATTGCATTTGGCAGTAGTTTATTGTCCACTTCATATCATGATTTAGGTTGGCTTGCTAAGAAGTTAATTTAGGGTTTATTGTCAGCTACACTGGTAGTGCTAGAGGTATTTTAATCAGTGTAAAAAAGTGAAATGCTAGCACATAAAGACTTTCTACTCAACTTACATAGAGGAAGATGATAAAAAATTATGCTTTTTTAATTTTTCTTTATAATTGTACAGTATGAGACACTATGAGAAATCTAGCATCATACACTTTCTGACTGGCGATTGTTACTGACTTGTCATATATCCCCTTTTGCCTGCTTTTGCTTTTATTCTTTTGTAACACTGCTTCCTTTTTGGTGACATCTTGGTAGCAAATTTTGTTTTCCTCTATTTTTTTCCAGGTAAAAAAATAGCAATCAGTTGGTAGTTAAAACTGCCATTTATAGTTATAACTACCAATTGGTTAAAGCAAAAGAAATGTACTTCAAGTAACAGTGTTTCTGAAAGAAAACTCTGACCTGGTGACTTGAGTTGGTGAGGCATGTGGAGTATTACAAATAAGAGCATACTTGAAACAGGTGCCTCACTATTAATGTTCCCTTCAGGTTTCACATCAGTCTTAGTTTCCTCTGTGGAGCAATCTGAAGTTTTCTAGTACCACTGGCACATTTCAGCTCACCTCTTGTTTGCATAATGCACAGCCCTAGAGAGCTGCAGAAAGATCATCATTTTGTTTGAGTGGGAATTGCTGATTAATACTTTGCTGAAGTATGAATATAGATCTTATATTGCAATACCTGGCACACCTCTTATAAAACGGAAGTAGCGCTGTTTGATTCAAATCTTTAGTAAATATAAATATAAAAAATACAAAACCCCATATATTAAATAGCAGCATAGTATTAAAAGAAAAAAAGAGAATGTTGGTGCTGCTGTCTTTCAACATTGAGTTATTAACTTGCCTAAAAATGACATCATCGTATCAGGTGTGCTTTTGCTGTCTATGTAGATTAGTTAATTAGGCTTCATATTGTCTCCACAGAGATCTAAAATTGCAGTGTTTGATAAAATGTGGACCTATATGAAAAGTGCAGAACCATCTGTGTTTGTGAGGACTACAGCAGAAGGGGTAGCTCGAGTACGGAAGTCGAAAGGAAAATATGCCTACTTGCTGGAGTCAACCATGAATGAGTACATCGAACAAAGGAAACCCTGTGATACCATGAAAGTTGGTGGGAATTTGGATTCCAAAGGCTACGGCATCGCCACACCTAAAGGATCTTCATTAAGGTGGGTGGAATAGTATAACAATATGCTAAATGTTGTTATAGTATCCCACCTACCCTGATGTATCTTTACTGATGTCTATGGTTTGTATAAGGATATGAGGTAACTCTCAAACATTACATTTCAAACGCTATATCAGAATGAAAGTGCCTATGCTGACAATATTGACAAATGCTTGGATACTTCCTTAAGTTTCTTGCAGGTTTTCTAACCATGTGAACATTTATTTTATTATTATTTAAACATTCCAATTTTAAGGATTGTTTTCTTATTTCTTTTCCTTTTTTTTTTAGATTTGCTTTTCACGTTACTAGCTTATAGTGTGAGTCTGTTTCCTCATACCTTGTAGAAAACGTCGCTCTGCTCATGAAACTAAAACCGAATGGCTGCATTTGAACAGTAAACTCTAGAGTAACTAACAAAATGTGCCATTGTTTAAAGAGGGCTTTGTTTTGGGGAGAGATAATGCACTATGAATTTCTTTGCACACATCTCTTTACTGTGTAGTTAACTCTTTGTATTCCTATTTTGTTGTTTGTTTTTTTTAGTGGAGTCACATTCAAGACACTGTTATTTGTTTGTTGTGGATGTGAGTACATTGCTGTAGAATATAGAACTCCCCATATTAGCACTCTTTC